GTGCAATGTGGACTATGAACTAAATGTGAGCTTTTGCATAAAGTGCAGCTATTTTATTTCTAGTTAAGTCCTCACTATGTTTCACGTGAACTAGTTTGTGCTACGTGTTGTCAGACAAATGCTGCGTTCCAGGCCACTCGGAAATGGGAAATGTCCAACCTCCGACTAGAAAAAGTTCTAGAAAATGCCACTTGAATTTTCTACTCGTGAAGTCGGAGAAATAATTTGTACCCCGACTTCACAAGTCGCAGCCAGATGACGTCGCACAACAATGGCAGCTCCCATGGAAGCACAAATTGCAAATGGTAAAGCATAAACTAAAAGGCAAAATAAAGTATTAAATTAAAATAATACATACTAGTATCAGATATTAAAACTTGTTCTGCATTTAAATTGTTGTAGAAATACTTTGTCAGTGTTATTTGGTAGCTGGTTGCAGTAAACAATCTGTGAAAGTCATCTCCTCTGCCAAAAAGTTATTCAAGGAAATGTTAAAAAGGCCCAGAAATGTGAAAACGTTTGGAGATATAGCCTCCAAATTTTGTGGACTTTTGCGGATTACCAGCTGATGTAGCTAGAAGGAAAACACAGTTAATGAGTAACGTATATTAATCAGTTGTTTTTAATAAAATGGCCATCCTTTTATTTAACACCAAGTGCACTGCTGAGAGTTTAACTGTGCATAAATATGCCAAAGAAACATGTTTATCACGGTCTGCCATGTTTGTTGTTTACATTAGCGTCATGCAGCACCATGCAGCCGAAACGCTTTGAAGGTCGGAAGTCCGATATTTCAGCTTAGAAATTTCCCAGTTCCGACTGGTCTGGAACGCGGCATAAATCCTGTTCCCTCGAAGGCCTGCTGTCAAAACCCCCTTTCCCTGACTGCTTCCTGCTGGTTCCTTATCATTAGGAGTCAGGAGCCATCGATTAAAATCTCATCTTGTCAGTCAAAGCATCAGCATTTTTCCTCCTTTAACTGTTTTAATTGTTTGCAGAGCAACTAAGGATGGCGGCAACAGCATGGGAGGTTATAAACTTATAAATGTCGTATTGTCTCAAAGTGTAATAGGAGAAGGGGAATGGAAAACGAGGGCTTCTTCACTTCAGTATTACTCTCTCTACCGTTGTCCGTCTGATGGCGCCGTCAGTAGGCAGAAGAGCTCCACAGTGTTGATACTGAATTAAAGGATGCTCCCTTTTTATTTCTTTGACTGGATAGAAATCGGATGTTATTACATAGTCATGGTGGGTGTTAGCAAAGCTGTTATGCAGTTGCTTTTGACTGCCCTGTAATTAGGTGGAGGAACACTATAGCAGTGTGATAATTGTGATATATGATAATTGTATGTGTTAAGTGTATTGATTAAAAAATGTATCAGTACTTATGGGTATTTTTACACTAACTATGAGTCAGACGTTTCCAAACACAGACGGTAAATCTGCCTGACGTCTTGCCCTCTGATTGCCAGTTTGACCTCCAGTTGTCCTGGACGTTAAAGCTCGACCACCTAGTGACCTCCCCAACATGCTCTCTGCCTACATGCTCTTAAAATAGTCACACACATGCACATACGGAAACACGCATATCTCTTCCTTTCAGCTGACAAGCTCTTTAAAAAGCCATCGACCCACCTCGCTGAACTTTACGACATGACACACACACCTCGCCTGCCGTGACAAGCTCTTTAAAACACCATCAAGTCACCCGGCTGAACTTTACGACACAGTTTCATTTCATGTTTATAAGACCCAAACACAGACACACACACACACACACACACCAATCACAACAAGTGTTGCATTTACCTACTCAGCCAGTACATGATAAATATGTCTGTTTGAGTCAAGGTCAAACCACACCTCCTTGTCCAGGTACACACACGCCGCACATATCCACACTCATACATAAACACGCACACATGAAGACGTATTTGTCGTCCATCAACATAATGCTTTCCAAGTTTGTGGAACAAATTAATTCTGTCTGCTTGGCTTCTCCTTGTTCTCCCAGAAGCCATCACTGCTGGCTACACACACAAAGACACATGTGAGTAAATAATAGGCTAGTTGTTGGAGCCATATTGTTTAGTTTAAACAAGAAAACCTGTAAGAGGGATGTTTTGAGTTAATTTATTGTATTTTGATTGATGTCATTTATGTGACTTTGTTTACTTCCTACTGTATTGTGCATCACTAGGGCTCTGATAGCCTTTATTAAGTGATTGAAAGGACCTGTGTGTGAGTTAGGTAGCAGAGAGCAGCGCTTTCAGGGAATACATTTAAAATGTGTTGATCCTTTTTATTTTTTTTTGTTAGAAAAGTCAACCAAACTATAGCGATAACTCCTCACCTAACTCCAGGTGGCGTCCAAGAAGATTTGTTAGTCACTTTAATAGTGAAAAAGAAAACTTTTTTTGTTTGCTTTTTAACTATGCTATGAATATACAATTCAGTGGGTAAAAATTGTCATAAGTTATTTACATTTACTCATTTAGCTTTTATCCAAAGCGACTTACAACTGCTATATATGTCAGAGGTCGCATGAGGGGTTAAGTGTCTTGCTCAGGGACACATTGGTGTCTCCAAGTGGATTCGAACCCGGGTCACTCACACAAAAGGCATGTGTCTTATCCACTGTACCATCACCACCACCCCATATTTAAGAGTAGGGCTGGGTATTGATCTCAATACTGTTTCTGTACTCACCAAACTGAAAGCTGTTCTGTTCTGAAAGCTGACATTGAACATGTGGACATAAGTTAGATCCAAATTTAAATCAAAGCGCTCTCAGGTTTAGGCCATGATTTAAATTTGAGAAACGTTCCTCCTTTTGTAAAATGAAAAACATGTTTCTTAAATACAGTGAGCTGCTTCAGATAGCCGCTCCTCTCCTCTCCTCTCATCGTTTGGTGTTTGTTCTTCCTGATAAGTAAATGACAAACCGTATGAAAATAATATTCTTCACCAGATGACAGCCATTTTTCATCTCTAGCCCTAAACAACTCCTCCTGCTCCTTTAAAGCGTTTCTCCGCTATCCCTCTATCTCATCCCTTTCCTCCTCTTATCCTCCCCCTCCCCCTTTATCCCTCCAACACTTTTTTTACTCAGGCAAAAATTAATCACCTGTCTTAATGTGTGTGTGTGTGTGTGTGTGTGTGTGGCCGGCAGGAAGCCCACAGAGGTTTTTAGCAGCTGATTTATTGCCGAGTTAATTCATACCGGCGTGCGATGATGATGAGAGGCCGCAGGAAAGTATGGTCGTCACTGTTGTTGTTGAAGGGTGAAAGGGAGAGAGAGAGAAGGAGAGAGAGAATAAACAGAGCAGCTCTTTGATATAAAGTAACCGAGTGGAAAGTGATGGAGAGGATGGAGGACAAAAAGGAAGTAATAGAATAAAAGAGTGTGTCAGGTACTTCATAGTGTAGTTTTAATGAGGTAATACAGTAAAGGACAGGATCAGGGACGAAGGAGATGTCTGCTGGCGGAGTTTCCCCTCAGCGATCGTTGAAGTTCTTTATATTGATATGAAAGAGTCATGTGAGTGAACTGTGAGGAAGGAAAAATCACTGGAAGTCATCAGCTGATGTCATCCACAAACTTGCATAATCTCACATCTACAAATTGTCATCTCCCGGTGCAAGACGACGTCTGATTTGTCGTCTTTTGCCAACCTTGGAGTCGGGACCCAACATGGTGTCGCTTGATATGCAAATGGAGGTCACAAGTAAATAGCCCGAGTCAGAACAGTCATGTCAATTTCATTTATACAGCTCAGTATCACAAATCTGCCTCAAGGGGCTTTAAAATCTGTACAACATACGACCCCCTATGTCCTTGGACAAATAATTTGGAAAAGGAAGATCTCCCCACCAAAATTTGGGTGGGGAGAACCCTGGAAAGAGCAACACATTTTATAGAGACATGCAAAAGATGTCGTGCCTGGATAGATTTTATAATAAGTAGATATTAAATGACAAAACACACTATCAGTTTGTTAGCTGTTCTTAAGCTTTGAAACGCATCACAGGATCTTCCTCAACAGAGTTTCAGTTTTCTTTGAATTGTAAATTCTTTTTTTGAACGGAGTCTCATGACCCTTGAACTTCATGAGCCTTTAATGTCACTATACTGCATATTAACATGACCCAGTACTCATGTAGCAAAGGAAGCATCATGCATCATCATGTAAAACGCACTAGCATTTTTTTTTTAAGACTTTGGCCGGGTGATTGACCCATTTCATCCTGAAGTATTCATGAGTTTTGGTAGAGGAGTTCTTATTTGGAGGAGGTGACCCAGAGTTGACGCTACATTCTTGAAAAAATATGGTTTTGGTTTGATTAAACCATACTAGGGATGGAAAATCAGGAGATCTTGGCTTCTGCTGCATTTCATTTGACATTCTTTAAAAAGTCTCTCTCCCGTGATTCCCTAAACTGCATACATACTATGATGAAATTGCTAATTAATTGCGAGTAGCACTTTCAGAATGTGTTTAAAATAGTTTATTGTGCATGTTTTACATCTTTTTTCTTGTATTTTGCTGCAGCATTATTTGGACATGGTGAACAAAAGTTAAAACGTATTTATTTTTCAAGTCAGAATCGGCTTTATTTGCCAGGTATGTGTACGCATACGAGGAATTTGACTCAGGATTGTACATTGCTCACGATGTGCTTACTTATGCAATAGTACAATAATAAAATCAGATGCAGGCTACAGTATAGAGAACACATACACATTATAAAGGTGTTACGTACTTGAGGTAGGTGGATTTGAACTATGAACAGTAGGAACAGCTCTGAAATACAGAATGAAAGAATGATATACATTAATATATTTCTACTTAATATTTCTGGAATGGGGTTGGTGGTGCATTATGGTCCACTGACACATGAAGTTGTCTCGTGCAATAAGAAGTCTACCGTGAATCACATTCTGCGCGTCATGTCTTTTTTTAAATCAGATGTCTAACATTCTGCCGCTCTCTGTCCAGGCTGCAGGCTCTGAGGAAGGAGAAGTCACGGGACGCAGCGCGATCGCGGCGGGGAAAGGAGAACTTTGAGTTTTATGAACTGGCCAAGATGCTCCCGCTGCCGGGCGCCATCACCAGCCAGCTGGACAAGGCCTCCATCATCCGACTCACCATCAGCTACCTGAAGATGAGGGACTTCGCCAACCAGGGAGACCCGCCGTGGAACCTGCGCATGGAGGGCCCACCGCCCAACACCTCCGTCAAAGGTAGGATGGACATGGTTGGAGGACAGGGGATGTCTTTAAACACTTTAGACTCTTTAAGGAACCAGATAGCAATGATTTGTTGAAGAATTAATCTTTTTTTAGGTTTAAAAATGTCCTTCATTGTGGTGTCATAGCAGGCTTTTCATCCATTATTTGTAGCAAGAAGCTCGAATTAAGGAACCATATGAACTTTTTCCAGAACATTTTTTTTGTACCAAGAAAAGTCCTAATGAAAACCGTACACAGAATACTCTAATATTAAAAAAAAAAAAAATGCGTTTTGCGACTTTAAAGCCTCTCTGGTGAATTTAATGTGCCAGATTTTTCAGTCCAAACAGCCGTTAACGTTTGTTGCATCAGCCAAAAGCTTTTTCTCCCATTGTGGGATGTCAGCGTTCATTAGCTTGATACAAACGTGGTTTCAGCTAAACTGTGCGACATATGATTGACAGTTTTCTGGCATCAGCGTGAGCCGTTTATAATGCATTAATGCTGAGCTGTCACTGGTGTTCGCTTTCTGTTCAAAAGGGTCGGAAAACAGAATGTTTCTGAATAAATTTCAAGTTGCTGACACACGTTTCATTTCATATCAAGTGGATTTAACAGATTTACAAGTTTGCTGGACCTCCAGCGACGTCATCGTGTGATTAGTAAAAGGTGACGCCTGGTTCAGTCAGCTCACAGTGGCAAAACCTGAGCTTGTGAGATGGCTCCTGTGGTATTTCTGCTAAGCTTGGATCTAAGATGCGTTCAGATAAACAAGTCCATATGTGTTCATTGATTTTCCTGCAGTTTCTCCTCTTCTTCCTCTTGTCTCTGTGCATTTAGGGAGACGAACAACATCAGGATAAGTAAACTAAATGTGAAGTTGAATCCATTTAAACATGTGCAGACAGATTTGACTTCTTTAGATTTTGTCTGCGCCATCACTGGGTGGTATTGGGGCAGTGGATAAGACACTTGCCTTTGGTGTAAGAGACTCTGGTTTGAATCCCACTGTGACCCATTCACCAATGTGTCCCTGAGCAAAGACACTTAACCCCTCGTTGCTCCAGAGGCGTGCGACCTCTGACATGTATAGCAATTGTAAGTCACTTTGGACAAAAGTGTCAGCTAAATGAATAAATGTAAATGTAATGCACAAGATGAGGGGACAAAAAACTTCTTTTGTTTCTTTAAAGGCTTAGTATAATGAGCCAAATTATTATAATAATAATAAAAAATGTAAATACTTAACTACAAAACTAATTCTAAAAAAATGTTCAGCTTCAAAAAGTAGCATGTTACAGCTTTAAAGCATCACTTCCTTTATGTTGTTCTTAGATTACCAGGTTGTTTTTGGATACGTTTGCAAGTTTGTATTAATACTCCCATTGTTAACTAAACCAACTAACCAAATTAAACTTAACCAACAGCTTTAGTCTCTAATTTAGCTTTCCTGAAAGCCTGTCTTTGCATCTTCAAACAAACCTTTTTATTGTAATGAATCTGAACATACGAACAGAAGTATATCTGGCCGACGGTGAACAGCGCCACAGTGAATGTCTGGCCCTTCAAACAACGTGGAAAAGCTGCGGAAACACACACACGGTCTCACACACACACACACACACACACACACAGGCAGCTAGCTTCTGCGCTAAGTGATTTTCTGTGAAGGGAACATTAAGCTTTGATGAATTTCTGCCTGGAGTACCAGAGTATACACAGCACTTGTGAATCTAAGTGGAATTTGCCTTTGAAATGGGCCCTTTGTGCGACGCACTTAGAGGAGAAGAGGAGCGTTCGCTTTTAAAAGGGACGTTTGGGCTTGCAGGAATGACCCAAAGATGAAAGCAAATTGCCTGAAATTTCTGTTGGGGTGTGTGTGTGTGTGTGTGTGTGTGTGTGTGTGTGTGTGTGTGTGTTTGTTTCTGTAAGAACTACAACCAGAATATTTACCTGCATGCAGAGCTGTAATGTGCACAAGAGCAGGATTGTCGTTCAGTACATGGGAATGTGGGAATAAAATAATGTGTGTGTGTGTGTTTTGTGAAAGTGCAATAATGTGTGTGAATGTGCATTTCTACACACATCAGCGTGTCTCAGAGTGTGTGTGTGTGTGTGTGTGTGTGTACACATACCCTTGCCACACAACAGCAGATGGCATCATTGTCGTCAGCGCTTTGAAGAGGCACATGCATTTTAATGAACAGAACAGAAATGTACACCAAATTAGTGTGTGTGGTGGATTGTTTCGGAGCTTACAGCTTGGTGTGTGTGTGTTGAAAATTTCCTGTGGCACAGTCCTACTTCCTTTCAGAGCGAATCATCCCAAGTCACATTTTACACACGAGTTTGTATTAGTATACCTCTGATGAGCATCACTGACAGCCGACCTATATCTCTTAACCTAAATGTAATTCAAGATGCAATTGTATGTAATATACAGTTGTTACAGAAAACCCCGATTGAGTCTGTTAAAATCTTACATTTATTAAAATAGTCTTAATGAGAATGACGAGTGATTAACTCTGCAGCTATACAGACAGCTTTAGACATCTTTCAGCTCACTGTTTTGCTTTCAAGGCCTGCAGCCTGTTACTGTTGTGGTTCATCCACCTCATTTCAGCCACTTAGCTCTGAGAAACCCACTGTGCACAACCTGCCCAGCAGCAAACTGCAGGCAGACACAGTTAGAGACTAGACCAGAGTTGGAGAAGACCAAACCGGTGCTAAAGGGAGAGTGAGTATTGGAGTTATATTCATCAGGTTTGACACAAACACAACTCCAGTTGGATGAAAATGTTCTTCTGTGTCTGTACATGTTAACGCATTCAGTATGACAACTTTATAAGGTGATAATATGCAGCATGAGACACCCAGGGCTTTCAAGGCAGGTGACGTATAGTCAAAGTTGACTTCTTCAAAGTTTGAAGTTACAGAACCTTTATTTAATTAACCAGGTGAGTCTCGTTGAGATTAAAATCTATTTTGCAAGAGAGACCTGGCCAAGCTTTAAAGAACACGAAGGACAAGTTTCAAACATATAAAAGACACTAATTACTTAAATAAACACAAGCCTCACTGAATAAGGCAAAATACATATAAATACATTAATTTAGAAACAAAGGCACTGACCAATATTCACCTGCCCCATATCCTTAAGAAGTGTCTGTCTATAAGAAATAAAGACAGTCAGTTTCAGTTTCCAAGCAAATGCAGGACGTCCTTAGAATGTAATCCATAATGGCTGTGAGTCCTTGTTAGAAAAACGCTCGGGAAGGTAGAAGTTCCTTATAGATAAAACACAGCCACTGATTATACCTTCTTGCATAGATGGGCCATTGAGCTTGACAGTAAAAGGTACAATAGTCATGTTTCCATCTAATTGTCATGAAAATTTTAAGTGCACTTACGAATAAACCAGGCTACGGCAAGCGTAGTTACGTCAGTAGTTTGCATTAAACATGGCTGTAATAAACAAGACGTAAGGGTTTCAAACAAGAAACAAAACCAGTGGATGGACATGATGGCTATTGATCTTAGAAAAATGGAGCGAGGTCCTCAGGAATGTGTTTCAAGCGGGCAAGTTGCTTCCAGCCATGTCTGCGCACGTTATGGGAATCAGGCGCGAGTTACAAGTTCGATAATTCGGCAAAAGTGTTTCCATCTCCCATTTAGCACATTTACTCTTTTTTCCACAAAGGCAAAAACCACTTCAGGCGAGCTTTTTTGTGAAATTGAGGATTTTGAATTTTGCCGTTTCCGTAAACTTTTTGTAATGCGATACAAAATGCGCATTAAAAAAACGTTGATGGAAACACGGCTAAAGAAGTGTCCAACTACAGCCAGTGAAAAGACGGAATAAACAATAAACAAACGGAATAAACTCTCACATATATAAAATCTCCATAATCTAGCATGGGAAGAAGCATGATGTGGATCTATAGAGAAAGCCTAGCTTTATCTTGATCTTACACACCAGGTTAATATGAGTTTTGAAACGGTTTATAATCAGTGGCTATACCTAAACATTTAACTGAAAACTAACTCAAATTCATTTCCTGCAGAAGTTAAGACATTTGAATTA